TCTATAGCCCAGAATTTAATCGACTTTTTTTTTTTGGTTCAAAATTTAAAACCAAAATCAGGCTTGATTGAACCACAACATCTCTATGTCACTATGTACAAGAATAGATTCATGTAATAGCGCAATCATAAAATGTCAGAAAACAAAAAAGCCTGAAAGGAAAATGTTTTTTACTAAGCAGATAAAGATCAAAACCGCCATAAAGAAGCATACAAGACAAAACCGGCCTCTCAGTGCAGAAACCAACCAAGTTCAACGAGTTATATATAAATGTACTAACAAATATATGAATGTTTGCGAAAACAGAAGCTCCAAAATGCTCTTTCCTTTTTAACCCTTCCATAGCTTCAACATTTTGTCTTTACCACCAGAGACTACTTTCTCACCATCTGGACTCCAATCCACTGCGAAAACCTTTCCACAACCGAAAAATATAAAATTAAGAGGAGAAAGAGACTGAAATTCGGCTAAAAGCGTCAGCTTTAATGTTGTTCATACCTCATCTGCATGACCAGGAAGATCTTGTTTTAACGTTTTCGTCCTAATTTCCCAAATCTGTGTGGAATTAACAAACTTTCTGATTCAGAATCTGAAGAATATCTCCAGTAAAAGAGTAGGAATGCCATTTCTTCTAGTCTAATTATACATTATAGAAAATAAAGTTTTAACCTTGAGAGTAGAGTCTTTACTGCCACTCAAAAGCAATCTACTGTCTGCAGACCAACTGACTTGATACACAGGTCCAACATGGCCCCTGAAAGCTGTAATGAATTGTCCTGTGATACCGTTCCATAGCCTAACTGATCTATCGAATGACGCACTTGCAATCCATTTCCCATCAGGTGAGAAATAGACATGGTTTACAAGCTGTTGATTGACCAATATAAAAGGTAAAGAGTTATAAAACAGAACTAAGAGAATAGGTTAAAAGAGTCAAATTGTTAAGTAACTTACCTGTTGATGACCGGTCAATCGCTTTTTATGTTGTTTGCTAACAGATGGTTCCCAAAGGAACATAGTGAAATCATCAGAACCTGAGACTAATCTTTCAGGTGAATCCCCTTTCGTTTGGTTGTATCTTTCAAGCGCCTGTTTCAAAAGAGAGAGATCAGAATCAGTAAAAGAGAAGAAATGATCTACAGAGTAGAGTGGAGTGAGAACCTTACCTTTTTCATTTCTTCATTTGGAGGATATTGTCTTCCAGTGTGGTCAAAAGCGCCAGTTCGAAGAACATATTCTGTGCTCAATGCAAGGGAATTAACCCAATGCCCATGCCCCTGAAGTAACAAAAGAAGCAGAGTAAGTTTGAGGTGGTTAAAAGTGATACTAGGTGAATCTGAACAAGGTACGGGTCAAAAGATGCAGGACATGAGAAAAACACATAAGCAATTTATAATACAATCAGGCTAGAATGACACTGGCACTGTAATATAAGGTCTTTAAGATAGTAGTGCAGAGGAAAAAATGATCAGAACAAATTCCAAATATAGCTAAGAGTTTACCTTCAATTCACGAATAAGCTTCCCCTGAGTAGTCTCCCACATCTTTATCGTACAATCTTGGGAACTGTCAGTCACAAGACACATATTT